CGGCGCCCGGCAGCCACGCGGACTGGGCTCCTTCGCCCGGCGGCGGCGCCTCGGTCGTCACGTCCGATGGCTTCAGAACGAAAGACGGCTTCCGAACTGCAAAAAGTAAAAAGAAGAGGCGAATCACGAGGTATGATGCACAGCTGATCCTGGAGAATAACTCCGGGATTCCCAAATTGACTCTTCGTAGGCGTCACGATAGCAGCAGCAAGACAAACGACCAAGAGAGCGATGGCACGAGTTCTTCAAAAATAAGCATCAAGTTAAGTAAAGACCACGAAAACGATAATAATCTGTATGTAGCAAAGCTCAATAATGGGTTTAACTCAGGGTCGGGCAGCAGCTCCACAAAGCTAAAGATCCAGCTGAAGCGGGACGAGGAGGGTCGGGGGCCGTGCTCGGAGGGGCTCCACGAGAACGGACTGTGCTGCAGCGACCCCCTCTCGCTGCTGGAGTCCCGCATGGAAGTGGACGACTACAGCCAGTACGAGGAGGAGAGCACGGATGAGCCCTCCTCCTCGGAGGGCGACGAGGAGGACGAGGACTACGAGGAGGACTTCGAGGACGACTTCATTCCTCTTCCTCCAGCCAAGCGCCTGCGGCTGATAGTCGGGAAGGACTCCATAGACATTGACATTTCTTCCCGGAGAAGAGAAGACCAGTCCTTGAGGCTCAACGCATAAGCTCTTGGGCTCAGTCTGGCCTGGGAAACCTCCTTTAAAGAAATAAAAACAAATTCCAGTCAGTTATTCCTCACCCGAGACGTTCTAGCGGCCGCACTTCCCTTCTCTCTCCACTTAGCAGCGTCATACTGTAGAAAGTGTACAGCGCACTGACTCTCCCCAAGTCTGATTTGTGCAAATTTTTATTGTACTTTTTAAATAGCCTTCTTAACGTGCAATTCTGAGTTAGAGGGAAAGCCCCGTTGTAAAATAAAGGCTCAAGCAAAATTGTACAGTGATAGCAACTTTCCACACGGGACGTTGAAAACAATAATGTGGCTACACAATTTTCTTGTCCTTTTTCTTTCTTTCTTTTCTTTTCTTTTTTTTTTTTAAACCAAGAGCATCAACTGGCTCTTTAATATATGACTAAAAAATAATTTAAAACAAATCATAGTAGCAGCATATTAAGGTTTTCTAGTATATGCTAACATCACCAGCAATGATCTTTGGCTTTTTGATTTCTTTGCTAGATGTCTCCCCCTCGGAGTCCTGTCGGTTTCACACTGTTTGCTGGCCCAGGTGTACTGTGTGTGGCCTTGCTTAAAAGAGCAAACCATCGGTTGGGAGTCAAATTGGTTTCTTTAAAAAAAAAAAAAAAAAAGTACAATTACACGCGTGACCGCTAACTTTTCAGTACATTATATGTACGAGGGTAGCAGTGTGCAGGATGAGTTCCAATTCAGCGTATTTATTGCTTGTCATGTAAATTAAAGACCTTGTATTTAACACTTTTCAATCCTTTTAGATAAAATTGTTCTTTGCAAGAATGATTGGTGCTTATTTTTTCAAAACTTTGCTGTGAACAATGTGATGACAACAAGCAACATTTATCTAATGAACTACAGCTCTCTTAATTTGGGTCTTCAAGGTTTCTGTTGCACTTGTAAAATGCTACAAGGAATATTAAAAACTCTATTCACTTTAACTTATAATAGTTTATGAAATAAAAACATGAGTCACAGCTTTTGTTCTGTGGTAACCTATAAAAATGTTTGTCTTTGAAATTCAATGTAAAGAACTGAAAACAATGTATATGTTGTAAATATTTGTGTGTTGTGAGAAATTTTTGTCATAAGAAATTAAAAGAACTTACCAGGAAGGTTTTTAAGTTTAGAAATATTCATGCCAATAAAATAGGAAATTATAAAATATATAGTTTTAAGCACTGCATCAGTGGGAGTTCTTGGCTTATGTTAGTTTATGTATGAAAATATCAAAGATTTTTTGACTATATTATCAGTTAAGCGAAAAGAGGAGTCAGATTTAATTTGTTTTTTTTTTTGAAGCACTTTGAGAAGAGAAATTAATTTTAAGTAACTTAATGAGCAAATTTTTGATTACTACTTTATGTTCAATACCAACCTTTCATTTCTCTGGATTATTTTACAAATCATTGGACAAAGAATTTGGGAATATAAAGCTGTAGCAGGTGTTTGACGCCAGTGGGTCTCTATTTCTGGGAAATGTGTACATGTACTTTCAGATACACGGCGTTCCTGAGTAAAATCGATTTAGGGGATTCGTGTAGTGTCTATCGAAAAGTAGCCCATGTCTTAAGATAGTGAAAGGAATCTGCCCGTGACGAAAAGTCCAGTGGAGAAAACCTCAATGCTTACTGTTGTTCCCAGGTGATTCCTGCCGGTTTCCAGGTTCTGGGGACACCCTTTAAATTGAGTCCCATGAAACGATTGCCAGTAGGGGTTCCACATAGAAATTAAGAATATTCATAAAAGTGTTGGCAACGTAGAGTTTTTGTTTCTCCTCACGTTCTTCAAGGAGTTACTTGTGTGGTCTTAATGTCGCCTCATTCCCGTCTGTCCCGTGCAGGTCAGCCCCTTGGGTAGTGGTGTGGCGGCCCCCGTCCCCCGCTCCGCATGTGGTTCTCCCCCTCGCGAAGCAGGACGGCCCCCCCGGGCTCTGTCCCGAGGCCCTCGGAGCGCATTGCGGACCACGTCCAGTCCTCACGTTGTCCCTCGGAGGAGTGTGAGACTCGTGCCATTAAGGAAGGTCGAGCACAGACTCGGTGTCTGGAAAGTAGCGGAGAGCGGTGGGCCACCTCTTTCACTCCCGGCCTAGCGTGGGGCGTGTCGAAGAGGTTCAGAGCCTCAATCTCGAACCGTCTCCCGGAATACCAACAACAGCCATTTCAGGAATCTCCATCTTAAGGAAAAAGTCACAAAATCCCACATTTCCCACGTTTCTCCATTTTTAAGCTTAATTTTAGTAACTTATTTATGTTTGTTAACTTGATTGCGGCCTCGGCTTTTCGAGACTGACCTTCCCCCGTGGGCCCTAGCAGCGGGGCCCGGGGGCGTCCCCGCCTCGGGAGTCGGGGTGCACAAGCGCTGGGCAGCCGCGGCTGCCGCCTTCCAGGGAAACCTGATTTCCGTTTTTCCAGGTAGGGGCCTCGGAGCTGCTCGGGCTCCACCGTAGAACTTCACCGTGTGGAATGGCGAGAGCCACACGCGGGTGACCACTTGGAAGAGGTTGCGTTCCATACAACTTTGAGCTTGAGCTTATGCAATGATTCGTAAAGATTCTGGCATTGTAAGAATTAGGAAATGATCATAAAAATACATGTAAAGTATTCAATTTTCAATCATTTTTCAAATTACTGTTTTAAATTGTTTTGCTGAGTTGTAATACCTTTGAGATACAATGTATTCCTTGTACTGAAAGAATGAAAAAAAAAGGACTTTTTCAGCATTTGAGGTAAGTTCTTTAACGTTTCATTAAAAACATTTTTTACAAATATTTTGTACATGCACTTGGAGTATTGAGGTTAATCATTTTAATAAATTCGGAAATTAAAACAATTTGGCCGGTGTTCGCTGTATCTGAGAAGAAAAGATCGAAGTGATGCCTTTCTCCACAAGGCTTTCATTTCAAGTAGAATTTGTAAAGTCGAAGGTTCGGAGGCTTTCCAGCATCTGCGAGTGGCGTGGCCCGCGCCCCGGCCTCCATTGGCTTCCAGTGCCGCTCCTTTTGTCGGAAAGACAACGGGAAAGCGGTCCTTGTCTCACGGAGGGGCTCCTCTCGAACCACACGGCCCTCCAACCCCACAGTATGCAACTCCTGAGCACTGGGTTTCTGCCCTCGCTGAATGGGACGAAACTGGCCTATCTGGGGCTGGCGTGGGTCCTCTGTCCTCCCAGTTACTGCAGCAAAACCTAGTTGAGGGGAGAAGTAGGCCTGGCTTAGGAGCCAGGGAGCCGGAGTTTGCCCAGCCCTGCAGCATCCGAGTGGCCCCGGGCGAGCTGGCGGCCCCCGATGGCCTCTCTGCGGCGCCCCGAAGTCCCCGTGGACGCCCGGCGAGGCAGGCAGCGGGGCGGTGCAGGCTAGACTGGAGAGCGCTGATGTCCCAGCGTGGGGAAAGGCTACACAGCCGGCGTCCGGTCTCAGGTTTTCTCTCTGAAACGAGTTACTCCCATCCGCCACCCAGTGCAGCTAGCTTGCAGCATGCTGCCCGGAGCCCTGGTGTGATTCTGTCCCTCGAGTGGAGTGCCGGCTCTGTCGCTGGCGTGCAGCCCACCCTGCTTGCCGCAGAGCCCAGTGGCGCTCTGGTAGCCCCGGGGGTCCCGCAAGCGCGGCCCGGGCCTGCGAGGGTGACGTGGCCTCCCGCTTCTCCCTCCCTGAGGTCAAGAGCGTGGGCATTGCTTGCATTCGCTAGTGATGAGGCCCAGAGGAAAAGCGGGATTTGATTCCTCGGGAAGGGGCAGGGAGTGTGGATGGGCAGGATTGGGAAGAAGGCCTCCCGCCAGGGCTGTCCCCACCCCCTCCTACTGCACCTCTGCCACTCGCTCGTTCCTCCCAGGGCATTGTCTGTGTTCATGGAAACTGCCGGAAAGCTTTCAATCTGGAGGCCCGAAGACGGCCTGCAGCCTCCTGTGATGACTTGGGTGATGTTCTTTAAGACAAAAGTCTTGTCTGTTACCAGATCCTATTTTCTTCTTGTCAGATGTGTGAGTTTTTCTGCTAAGTTCAGTAGATTGTGACTTCCCTCTTTTGGGGGTACCCCCCCAGTTGAGTCCGCTCTGCTGTGGCGGAGGCCGGCGGGGAATTTGCAGATGGGTGGCCAGTCTGAGATCCCGAACAGCACTATCCTGAGTGACAGGAGTGAGGTTGCATTTCTTTAATATATGTTGAACCCCTGTTCTGTATTAGTGTGGGGACGGGACGGGGGGCAGGCAAGAGGTGAGAGGCCTCGGTGTGGGTGTGAGTAAAACCCTGGGAGCAGGTGAGGTGACCTGGGGGAGGAGGACAGACAGCCTCTGGGCCCTCCCTCCCACCCCCGACCTGGGGAGACCTGGGAGAGGGCAGTGGGGCGGCACTTCCAGGAGGAGCCAGACTGGGGCGGGGGGTTGGGGGGGGAGAAGTCTGTCCGGGAGGGAGAGAAGGATCACAGCTGGAAGGGGAGGTGCGGTTAAGGAGGGGATTCGTTGTTAATGAAGGACAAGTACGGTGAGACGGTGCGGTGAGACGGTGAGACGAGGAGCTCCCACAGGGGATGAGTTCCCAAAAGGGAAGGTGGGGAAGTTATTCAGAGTCTGCGGGCGGAGGGCTGGTCTTAGTCTGGGTCCGTCTTCCTTGGTAACAAGAGGAAAAGAGGTGGGCCTGTGGGGGGCCAGTTCCAGCATGAGGGTTTCTATATTGTCTGTAAATAGGAGGCGAGGTCACCTGAGAGTGAGGAGGAGGTAAGAGCCCCCAGAGCTTCGGGAGCACTAAGATTTAAAATCGAGAGAGGAAAAGCAAGCCGACTCTAGAAACCGGCATAATGCATTGCAGAAATCTTTACCAGCCAACTTCCAGGTACCAGACAGTGTTCTAGACACCCCTGGAGCCAAGGGGGCGGGGGGAGGGGCGGCACTTCTCAGCCCAGGTGTGAGGCTCTCAGCCAGGTTGGGGGGCTGCAGAAGACGGCAGGATGGAGGGCTCGGGGGGGGCAGGAGAGGGCTCGAATGGAGAGCCCCGGAGAGTGTGCAGGTTAGGGAAGAGAATGAGTCCATGGCCTCAGTGGGCCCGTGGCCAGGGACAGTACAGACACCCGAGGCCAGGAGGTGCTCCTGTGGTCAGAGAACAGTCCAGCCTTAGACAAGCACGTGGGTAGACAAGAGGTTGAGGTCAGAGCGGCCTCAAGAACTTCGGAAGGGCTGCATTTAAATGATGGCAAGGTCCCTGATGGGGCCTGGTCGAGAGTGTCCTTGTTCTGGGAGACCAAGACGTTGGGCAGAACTGAGGTCACTCAAGATGACAACTGACAGGGGCGCCTGGGTGGCTCGGTCGTTAAGCGTCTGCCTTCGGCTCAGGTCATG